CAGGCCCGAAAGAGGTCTTCCAGCTCCCAGAGGAAGGAGAGGGTGTGGATGGGCTCATCGTGTTAGAGAGTGTTTCTCCCTTAAAAAGTGTTTCTTGTCACTGCTTTTAGCGTGTGCGCCTGAGAAATAAACACGTTTCATGTGGACTCGACAAACCTGGTTTATTCCCAGGGAACCATAATAAATACCAACCACGACTCATGCTGGGTCATGGAAACAGGAAGAGAAGGGTGGGGTCAGAGGCTCACAGGACACACTGTGGAGTGGGGTCCCCAGGGCACGCAGGCACGTCACAAACCCGCCTGCCCTCCTGCGGATGAGAGCAGTGCCCAGGTGTGGCAGCGGCCGGCGCAGAGCTGCCTGGGCCTTGGGACTGTCCCTGGGGCCATCCCGTGGGATCCATCACAAGGGTCTGAACCTCAGTCCCTGCCAAGCCTGTGGGTGGAGTGCATGGCTTTGCCCTGACAAACCAGGCAAAGAAAGCAACCGAGGAGGGGGGCCGGAGCCGAGGAGGGTGTGTGGCTGGAGGGAGAGAGAACCAGTCCCAAGGGCCGGGGCTGCAGCCCTCAACACGGCCAAGGGGCTGCGCCTGGCCCTGGGGTTCAGTGATGATGGTGGTGACACAAAATGCAGCCTCTAGCTCCACCTCGGCAGCAGAAGCGGAAAACACTCAATTTGTGCAGGAAGAGGAAGGAGAATCCTGGCCTCCTGTGGTGTCACTGTGGGTCCCCGTGCTGTCAGCTCCACATGAAATGGCCTCGCCATTCCCGGCCTCTGCCCTGTCTTGTGAGCTCCATCGGAATCCATAGGCGCTTTGCATCTGTCTGGGACTGTCCCTGGGGCCATCCCGTGGGATCCATCACAAGGGTCTGAACCTCAGTCCCTGCCGAGCCTGTGGGTGGAGTGCATGGCCTTGCCCTGACAAACCAGGCAAAGAAAGCAACCGAGGAGGGAGGCCGGAGCCGAGGAGGGTGTGTGGCTGGAGGGAGAGAGAACCAGTCCCAAGGGCTGGGGCTGCAGCCCTCAACACGGCCAAGGGGCTGCGCCTGGCCCTGGGGTTCAGTGATGCTGGTGGTGACACAAAATGCAGCCTCTAGCTCCACCTCGGCAGCAGAAGCGGAAAACACTCAATTTGTGCAGGAAGAGGAAGGAGAATCCTGGCCTCCTGTGGTGTCACTGTGGGTCCCTGTGCTGTCAGCTCCACGTGAAATGGCCTCGCCATTCCCGGCCTCTCCCCTGTCTCGTGAGCTCCATCGGAATCCATGGGCGCTTTGCATCTGTCCGTAGTTTCAGCCGCGCCCCCAAGAGGCCCGAGCGCCCGGGGTGGGGAGGGACTTTGGCTCCACCGCCACTGCCAGGACTTGCCCTCGGCCTTGGTGGGCAAGAAAGTGTATACAGCTGGCACACCCAGCGTGAGCAGCGGGCTGAGCACACTGAGCATCCGGCATCGTGGGCCTTTCATCTGCTCATTCCATTTATTGAGTGCCTACTGTATACCAGGTCTGTTTTTGGCACTAGGGACGCTGCCACAAATGCACAGAAATCCTGATTTGAAGATTCCAGAACTAGTGTTGTGGGAAAATAGAAAAGGACAAGAGCGGGAAGAGAAAACCAGGTTGTTTGCGACTGCGATGGCTGGTCCGGCCGGGTCCCTGAGGACTAGACGTGCACAGCCTCAGGAAACACGGACACACGGGAGCTCCGCCCCCACGAAGGGCACCACTTGGTAGGCCCAGTGAGCTCCCACTAGCTAAGGTGCCAGTCCACAGACTGCCAGGGCTCAACCAATGGTCAAACACCCAAGTCCAGCTGGAGGACTCGCACCCTGGGAAGGGAACTGTCGGGCTTTGAGCTACACGTCTCAGGAGCCCGCTCCGTCCTCTCTGGAGTGTACTCTCTGTTTTACTAAATGAACTGTCCTTTGCTTTTCACTGGCGTGTCTCTTCCAGTTCTTTGTTCGAGGCACCAAGAACCCGGACGTAGCTGGGGAACCCACAGTTTTCCCACAACACTAGGATGGGGCAGGTGTGCCCCTGAGCTCGCTACCCCACACATACGATAGCGGGTCACACCGTGAGTGTGAACTGATCATGCCCCCAAGTTCATGTGGTGAAGCCATGACCCCCAAGGTGATGGTGGAAGGGGGAAATTTTGGGAGGTGAGGAGGTCACGAGGGTGGGGCCCATGGTGGGATTTATCCCCTAATGAAAGAGCCCAGAGAGCCCCCTCCTCTTCCACCATGGGAGACCCTCAGAGAAGGCGACATCAGCAGGCTGGGGGGACAGGCTGACCAGCACTGATCCTGGAGCTGAGGGACACGCTGTGGTAACTCGTATAGCGGCCCTCACGCCCCCGGAGCTGTGTGCCCCCCAGCACACCTGTGCCGGGTGACCCCTGGCCTCAGAGGACAAAGAGAATCCCTGCCATTTCTGAGATACAGCTACATTCCAGTCATACTTCCCAAGGTGGCATTGTCGTGAGACTGTGTTGGGGCTGCGTCCTTTCTGAGGTGGCTGGAGCCATTGTTCCCAAGTTTGCTTGGGGGCAGCCTGTCCCACACCCCGCAGGACGCTCCCTCCCAGCTTCCCCTCCTCCTCCCGTGCCACCGCACCAGGCCCAGCAGCTGGTCCAGGCATGCAGGACCTCGAGGGGACCAGGGCCTGACATCAAGGAAATGGGATGGACCTTGGCCGCTCCATGATGGTGGTGTCCAGTCTCTGCTCGTGGCTGAGCCCTGCACCTGCTGTGCTCTCACGACTGTTGGTGACAGCGGTGAAGGGCCAGGTGGGGAGAAGCTGCACGTGTGTCGGCGGAGGCCCAGCTGCTCCATGGGAGTGCAGACACCCAGACAGAGCGAGGTGGCACTCAGGACCCACGCTGACCATGGCGAGTAGCCAGAGAACAGCCTCAGCCCAGCCACAGGAAGGGGTGGGCCAGCGCGGTGAGGGGAGCCACTCAGCTTGTGTCCAAGAAAACTGCAGCCCACACTGTCCCCGGCAGTCAGGGACCTCCATCCGCCAGACACTCAGACACATGTCCCTGACCATCGGCCACTCTGTCACCAGAGGCTCTGAGACCAGCATCCCCACCATGGGTCTGGTTTTGTGGCCTGAAACTTTCATAATCTGATGGGGATGGGACCCCCCCCACCCAGGAAAAAACAGATAAAATTGTGAATGCCACAACTGGTACGAAGATAAACTCATGCAGGAACGTTTAAAAACCATCAAACCATAACTTTCAAAAAGCTGTCCAATAACACAAATAGTCACAAGATCCAGGGTGACCGCACTGTCGTTAGTTGCCTGTGATCAATGAGGAGGGAATTCACCTGTGGCATTTCCCCACGTTTCCTGGCTGGGCTCTGCCAATCACCTCATCATGTCAAATGCCCAGCTTCCTCCTGGCACGGTGGCAGAAATCTGTGTCCTAGCA